ACACTTTTTGCAATTAAGCTCAAGTTTCGTCAACAATGTCTTCCAAGGGATTGAAACTGCAGAAATCAACCAAGCGGAAGGATAGCGAAATCTCTGAGAATTTCGATGCTCAGAAATCTAAGAAGCCGAAGCTGGAATCGTCTAATTCCGACCAAAAACACCATACCTCTCAGCAGAGTGGTACACTGTCGAAGAAGGAGCGTCGTATACAGGCTAAGGTTTATTGTCTCTTTTATTCTTACTAAGCTATTACATTTGGAATCTATGTCTTATGATTAATCCCAAGTTGAATTGGGATTTAGCTTCGGATTTTGATGTGTCTTTGTTTTGGTTTGCAGCTTTTAACAGAAGCTAGGAAGAAGAGGAGAAAGCCACATTACACTCTTGAGCAAGTATGTACCTTTTTTGTAACTGAGATATTTCTGTGTTTATGTTGTATTCCTCAAGCTCATACTTACGAAACTGATCACTCCTTATACTGAATATCAGGAGCTTGCAACTCTATGGGAGAAGATGAGACGATTTGACATTAGCAAGGAGGATCGATCAAAGTTAGTATCTAATTAGAGAATGCTTGATTGTGAAATTAAAAAAAAAACTCTGTTTTATATTTGTTTGATCATATATACTTGGTTAAAAACTACTTGTTAGGCTGATAGCGGAAGCTGTACAAAAGATGAAGGGGAAGATTCCAGATATTGCAGGTTCTAAAGTTTCATCCCGCGTTCTCCAGGTTCGTTTTCTCTATCTTTTCTTTCTGCGAAAAGGCTGCCAAATCCCTATCTTACGATCGTTTTCTTCCATTACGTAGACTTGTGTGAAGTATTGCTCAGAAGCTGAAAAGGATGTTGTCTTTAAAGAACTCCAGCCACACTTTCTTAGCCTGGCTACTAATGCATATGCTGTTCACTTGTTAAAGAAGATGATGGATGGAGGTAAGAACTAACTTCAAGCCCAACTGTACGCTCGCTTATTCATTCAGCTAATTAATATCGTGATTTTTTTAATGCAGCATCTAAGCAGGAGCTGTCAGCTTGTATATCCAGCCTCCGGGGAAAAGTGGCTAATCTCCTCCGTCACATGGTCGGATCTGTTGGTATGTGGAGTACTCATGTTTCAACATATATAATTTTGGACGACTCAGTTTACACAAAATAGTCCGCTATGTTCTATGAAGATGCCGCAGAGCATCTGTTGTTTGTTTTGAAGCTCACTTTCTCTTTGTTTTTTTTATGCGTGGCTCCAAGTTGTGGAGCATGCATACCATCTAGGAACTGCAGCACTAAAACGAGAACTCCTTGGAGAATTGTATTCCAAGGAACTTCAATTATTCAAGGGCATGACCACAACTACTGAAACAAGGTAAAATTATGGTTTATCTTCTTTGTCTTACTCTAGGACACAAGAAATAGAGAAACCAGGTCTCATGTACTTTTTTTTTTTGGCTTGATAACACGAGAGCTAGGAATTTCTTAGTTTCCATTGTTGTTATTTGCGATGGTGATTACAACCTCGATATTAATCTGTTACTGCTTCAAACTGCTCACATATTAAGAGTTACTCAATGGAATTCAGGGTGGTAGACATCATCGCGAAGCTACAACTACAAAAAGGCGGTGTGATGCGACGCATGACGTCCATTGTCCAACCGATTCTTGAGAAGGGAATTGTCGACCACACTATCACACACAAATTGCTGATTGAATACCTGACAATAGCTGATAAGGTATTTTAATTTTAATTTATGTGAATGTTATTGCATATAAAATTGTTTTGCATTACTTTCTTCTTCGTTTTACTAAATGATTTTTTTTTTTTTTGTGGCAGCCGTCTGCTGAATTTGTGATTCAGCATCTGACAGGTCCCCTTCTTATACGTATGGTTCATACCCGTGATGGTTCTAGGGTTGCCATGCTTTGTATCAAACATGGAAGTGCTAAGGTACATATTCTCTAACTTTCTAGTATTAGTTATCCTTTTTTTCTTTTGACTCATAATACAAGTGATGTCCTTCATACTTTATCGATTTCATAATGTTTCTCCATACCAGTTTGAATGGATGCCTTTTCTTTTGTTCATGATAATATTGTAGACATCAAAATAATCTTATAAACAGGTTCCATGATTGACATCCATTTTGACCTCTATTCCAAAGAACTGACGCTGGAGATTTCCATATAAAATTGAACTTCTGCTCTTTTATCATACTCTTTGCAGGAGAGAAAGAAGATTATCAAAGCAATGAAAACCGATGTTGGAGAAAGCCATGTAGGAAAGATTGCCTCTGATCAGTTTGGAAGTATGGTAAGAAGACCTTTAATTATTTTCTCTTGGGGTTTTGTTTACTAGTCCTTCGCTGTTTCTCTAATTTTCGTTTTTCAGTTAATCCCTTGTCTACTATGTGTTTTAGGTGCTTGCATGTATTTTTTCTATAGTTGATGACACAAAGCTAGTTACCAAGGTAGTTTCCCTGAAACAAATAAAAGATTGGTGATTCTATACCCGTATGTTCTGATTCTTCTGAATCTTGTTCAACCTTTTGCAGATTATTGTTCGTGAGCTTATGGCCATCTTAAAAGATCTTGTTATGGACAAGGTTTGTGATCCTTATATATTAAAAAGCACACCAAGATAAAAATTAAAATACTTCAGTCTCATTTCTTGAGTCTGATGAGATCTTACCTCTTGGCGACTCCATGATACTAGACTTCTACTCTTTGCTTTCTTTAGGCCTTTCTATGACTAATATGTTGAGTTCTTCCTGTATTTATTTTCTTTAATAATGTATGGCTTCAAAATTGTTTGTGTCTGCAGAATGGAAGGAGAACACTATTGCAGCTACTGCATCCAAATTCTTCACGTTACCTCAGTCAAGATGATCTGGCTTCTCTTGATCTGACTATTCCGTCCTTAATGGTATGATGATATAACCCCAACTATTTACCTAACTATAATGCTAGCATTTTTCCTTCTTTTGAAATTAAACTGGATGTAAAACCTGCCCATATCTACCATTCGTTTTCAGGATAAGTCAGAGACATCCTCTAAAAAAAGGGACTCGGATAGTAAAGAATCTGGTGAGGAGGCGAATGATGAACAAGAGGACATAGATCTTGAAGAAAATGTCGCTGTTGCAGGTGGTAAAAAAGATCCCCTTTTGAGAAGGCAGGAATTGCTAGTCAACAGTGGCCTTGCTGAGGTGTGTGCGACGTGATGACTCTTTTCAGTTTTTTGGTTGTTTTCTGATAAAATGCTGCAACTTCGGTCTTATAATCTCTCATGGAACATTCTTGATTTGTTGGGCAGAGGCTTATTGATGTGTGCGTGGAGAACGCTGAGGAATTCCTCAAGTCAAATTTCGCCAAAGAGGTCGTGTATGAGGTATTGATTTTTAGTTTCTCACATCGTTTGTTCTAATGATTATAGTCTTGTTATAAAAACATTGGGAGACGAAAATCTGGGCAAGAAACAAAATCCTGTACCATTTAACGATAACAATCTCACCATATTTGTTAGGGTTAATACTCGTATGCTCTGATCTCCCTACAACTGATGCTACTTTCAATCTGATAACAAATGCTAATATCCATTTGTCACATTCTGTATAGTTATGATTTTCACCTTTATTTCGTATCAGGTTGCAATTGGGGGGTATGATGGTATTCTGTGTCCATCTCTGAGCGAGAAACTGAGTGAACTCTACGAAGCTATTGCCTCTGTAGCAGCAAAGCCGAAACCCCAAGAACTAGAGAAAAATTCAGAGCCGAAAGCCCAAGCAGCAAAACCGAAATCCCAAGCAGCAAAGCCGAAACCACAAGAACTAAAGCACGTCCTGGAGAACTTTCACTCAAGTCGAACCATAAGAAGGCTTGTCTTGGATTGCCCTGCTTTTGCTTCCATTCTCTTCAAGAAGGCATTGTCTGGAAATTGTCGGTCGTGGGCTCAAGGACACTGGTAAGCCTAATCACTCTTCTCATACATCCATCTATCTCTAAACAGGCAAGTACTTGAAAATCTAAATCTTGTTGAGTCTCCTTTTTCTTTCTGCAGTGCAAAGATATTATCTGCTTTCCTAGAGACTCAAGATCTTCAAGTGCGTGAGATGGCTAAGAAAGAGCTTCAAGTGTTGGTGAATGAAGGTGTTCTGAAAATCTCAGAAACCAAAAAACCCGAATGATGCAAACCCAGCATTGTTAAACTTAAACACACCACAACGAACAGGGGAAGTAACAAAACTGTGTTTCAAGGTTTCAGAATTGGGAATTTGGGTTATGGAAAATTTTGTCCTTTTTCCTTCTATAGTGTATCTTCATGCATCTTTTAAAAACCGCGGTTATGATGTATTCAAATTTCAAACGCAAATCTTTAATAGCATTTGTTTTAATCTCATAATTTAACTTACTTGCACTTGCCATTCAAACGTTAGGATTTGCTAAGAGAATTGTGCAGTAAGAAGAACAATGACCATTACTTGCCAGTTTACAATAACATGATGAAACACAAAACCAGTTTTATTTGTAATCTCAACTCTTGACAACATTTCTTATTCTGTGTAAATGTACATATCACATTTTTGTTGTTGTTGAAGCTCAAA